CTCCCAGGGTGGCCCGTTCTGTTTATCTATCTATCTACCTATCTATCTATCCGTCTACCTATCTTGTTTTTGGATACGAGGCTAGGCAGCCCCCTAGAGAAGTAGATGGAGACATCGCGACGTATCATCTGTTTGCACATGTAAGTGTAGTCGTGTAGATGGTAGAGGAATGAATACATAAAGCTCTACTGGCCCTGGACTCGTGGGCTTCAAGGAGTCGTCATGCAGTGCTTAATCATAGACCGGTCTAGAAAAGCAAGCATGGAGCCGGCTTTGCGACGGAGCGACGAGGCCAAGCGAACCCTCGAGGCAGAGCAGGAGGACGTGGCTCGGTTCAGCGTGCATGGGTCCATTCTTAGTAGGGGCTCCTTGTACCTTGGCGCATTGGGAAAGCTGTTAGTCCAGTACGTCAGGCCCCGAGCTTCAAGCGCAACAATCGGAAGTCATCGAGGGTGGAATATATCCTGCCAGGTAGCTGAAATGCCAGCTTAATCTAGGAGCTCAGTTAAGAAAGGTATTAAGAGCAGCTCATGAGGACTAGGCAAGCCCGGGGGATGAATCTTGCCCTCTCGACCCTCCCATCCAAGCAGGACGACTGAGGAAGCCAGCAAGGCGCCAGAGTAGAACTCTGCATGCGCTTCGGCACTGCCAAACCTAAGACGGGCCTCACACTGCTGTTCTCAGGATTCAGAGTTGCCTCCATAGACGCTTGCTTGATAACTTGCTGCATATGCCGTGAGGAAGGCAGTCGCTCAAGATCCATTCGAGGATGCAGATGGGAAGCTGCAATCGCTCCATGTGTAGACCGAAGGTTTTATATCCACTAAACATCGCTGCAGTATCGACCAATAGATCAGTTCCGAGTTTCGCCACGAGTAGGCATCTCTGTACACTCCCAGCTTCTGCACTTCCGGAGATTGACCTCCTAAATGCTGAGCTGCTTGCAGCTTTCGTCACGTAGCACAGCTGAGAATCGCGACACAGGGCTGTGACAAAGCGGACGAAACAGGTCGAAAACAATTGACGGGCAGTGCCTTGAGAGACCACCACAGACATTGAAATATACAGTCAGGTGATTTCAAGTGAATCATCATGCTGTCTTGCTTCGTCATGCAAGCAGAACTACGGAACTGCCTGGTTCGTTGTACCTGCCTGCTGCGGCCATTGCTCAAACAGACGCTGCGAAACAGTAGTGTCACCTGTAGAGCCTTGTCTGCATGCAATTTGCCAGTGAGGGCGGATTGTCCAGAAAGCATCACATGCACCACATTAAGCTGGCTTTGTGTCGAGCCACGACCCAGGCACCCGAGGAACGGAGACCATGTCATTCAACACAGACTCTTGGAGTGACAATTGTCTTCTAGTCAGAGTGGTTCACCACAGATGATGTTTGCTCATGGTTCTTCGTTCTTGCCAGTAGAACGGCACGAAACCCTCTTGGGCGGAGGCCAAGCTGTTCGTACTGCTTGGAGTCCTCGTCGGATGCAGAGGCTGGTAAGGTGTTTGCAGTGCCCACGAAGGACTGTGTTGATTGAGTTCCTTGCAGGGCAATGGACAGCATCTCGGTGGCAGACGGCGCTGTCGACGGCTTTTGGCATGATGCCCTCGTAGCGCTTAGAGTTAAAGTCCCCTGAGCGGGGGCAGAGTCGTTGCACATGTTGCTCTCAATCGGACACGTCTGAGGCTGGTACATACGTGACGGCGGATGATATCCGGATGGCAGAATTAGCGGATGACAAAGCTGCGACGGCCAGCTCGGTGTTTTTCAAGGGCACACTTGTCCACTTTCCGCGCATGCACTGCCCCAGTGACACACCTTCCTCTGCCCCTGCTTGATGAGCAGCAGCAGGGGCATCAGGAGGAGGAGCGAGTAGTCGTAGTAGTAGTAGTAG